GCAACTTGAAACCTCATTTCCATACCATTACCACCACCACCTAAACACCCACACTGATCGAAACCTTCGTAAACTTCCAACATCTATTAAAGAAAAAAAAATTAAAAAATAAGCCACGTCCTCGAGGGAAATTGAAGTAAAAAAAAAGTTAGTTAAATAAAAAAATGAAATGAAAAGTGTTTAGAGTGGGCTTTATAGGGATTGATTTTTGGGTTTTGAAAGAGGGGGGAGAGAGGTTCGAGTTGGGGAAAAAATGGAAGCCAAAAAAAAAAAAAGAATTGAAGAAAAAGGCCTAATTCAACTGGTAAAGAAGAAGAAAAGGAAGAAAAAAAAAGAGGATAGAAAAAGATACGAGGAAGGAAGAAGAAAGAGAGAATTAAAAGGAATAGGTCCAATTCAGCTGAAGAAATAGGGGGTAATGGTGCTTGGAGATGAAAAGAAGTATAAGAAAAAGAAAGTAAGTATAAGCTTAAATGGTAGAATCAAATTTTCACGTTATGTGTCACGTAAATACCATGTGTAATTCAACTTAACAGTATAAAACAGTTTTCGTCCAATTTAAGATTTGTTTAATCCAAAATAAAAGTATAAGAGTTTTATTGATTACAATAAAAAATTAAGAGCTTAATTGATTATTCAATTTTTATTTAAGGGTTTTTTGAACCTTTAAGCCTATATATTGTTATTGAATTAGATATGATTCAAAAGTATGTTTCTTTAAATTTTTATTATAGTTACAAATAAAGTTGGTCATAGGTCGGATCGAGTTTAACATGATATTTTAATATTTTAAACAAATCCAATCCTAATGCAACCCGATTTTTTAGATCTTATTTTCTATTCAAACTCGTTTCAATATATAATAATAAAGTTTGAGCCAGCCTAAAGCATTAATATTTAAAATTGAAAAAAATAATTTTTTTTATTTTTTATAAATTATTAATTTAATTAATTTTAAGTGAATTTATGAATCATTTGAGTATGAATCCAATTTAATTTCACTGAATGCAATATCATTATTTTAATGTTTTGCATAAAAATATTGGGTTTGATTCTATTATAAGTAATAAAATAAATAAATTTTATCTATTATAAAAAATAAAGTAAATTGACCTTATTTTATTATAATAAAAATATTTTTTTAATTTTTGAATCGAGCCAAGAGTCTGAACTTTAAACTAAAGCTTGATCTTATTGTTTTATCAGACCTCATTTATTTATTCGAGCATTTTTAATGGACTTAATATTCATATTTAAGTCTTTTAAAATTTTAAACAAATTTTTAAATTCCGACATATAAGCTGGTCAATAAGCATGTCTAATTACAAATTGATCTTCAATTTTATTTTTTTCTTTGTTATTTTACATTAAAATTATAGTTCTTATAAAATTTATTAATCATATTATAATTAAAATTTTTTATACATTATTACAAACACTTGCATTCCATAAGCTTAAAATTAATATATATATATATATTAAAACATAAAATCTCAATTAATCAACCTAAAATTTTCAAATTAGATATTAAAATATTTGAACCTACTGACTCGGTAAATGAAATTGTTTGAACTTGAATTCAGTTCAGCCATGACAGAATCGCATTTAAACATTATCTAAGTTAAACTCAAATAGTTTGCGATGATAGATATCTCATTTACACCTCTACCCCTTAATTAAGAAATAAATTAACCGAAGAACCTATCTGTCAAAACAAATTATAAGCGGTATTTTAGAAAACATAAAATGGGCAAAAATCTGACTATAAAAGTGAGCATGAGGGTCCCTCGGAAACCCTATCACTCGCTCTCTTATTATCTCTCTCTTTTGTTAGCCGCTAGGGTTTTAGCTTCAAATCTCTCTCTTTTTCGAAGGTTCGATTTTCATATTCTCAATTTTTAATTTCGTTTTCCGTTCCTTTTAGGCGATTTATTTATTCATATTTATTTATTTTTCCTGATTTTGATTCGCTGGCTTTGTTTGCTGTTTTAAGATCTTATTTTCATATTTATTATAAGTTCGAAGATCCGTTTGCTGATTTTTTTTATGAGATTGTTTTTATTTTGCTGTAATTTGTTTTTGATTTGATTCTGCTATGTTGTTATTTTGTTTCTACTTTTATTTTAATAATGATAATATTTCCAAGATCTGATTTATTTTTTTATGAGAAATTGTTGTTTTTTTAAGAAGTATTGTTTCTTTTTTTGTTCTGGCTATTTTTTTTAATATGAATGAATTACAAATATTATTATATAAAATAAAACGGCTGCATTTGTGTTATTTTGTTAATATATTGAGTGACATTTGTTTTGGGATTTTGATGTGATTAAAACATTTAATTAGTCTGTCTGATTCAAATTTTCTGTCTTTGTTTTAAATTCTAGAGTAAAATTAGTGTATCTGTTTGGTAGGTTTGATTTAATTGGATGAAATTAGTGTTTAATTTAGGTTTCATTTTTAGCTTCTATGTATCATAAAACGTTACTAAATTGCAAAAGTGGATATCATAATTCATTGAAAATGGGAAAATGAATAAAATGCAACTTAATACTGCATGTTTATTTTGGGGGTTGGGGGTACATTGGCACTTAGTTTAACATGCTTATTGTTTTTCTGGCTGCTCAGTTCTCTGATTGTTTAAGTATAGGATTCTGGTTTAACCTTTTTTATATTATTTATATATATGTTGGTGCAGCTCCAAGGTAATAGTGCATCATGGGTAAGGAGAAGGTTCACATTAACATTGTGGTTATTGGCCATGTCGACTCTGGAAAGTCAACCACCACTGGTCACTTAATCTACAAGCTTGGAGGTATTGACAAACGTGTGATTGAGAGGTTTGAAAAGGAGGCTGCCGAGATGAATAAGAGGTCATTCAAGTATGCTTGGGTGCTTGACAAGTTGAAGGCTGAGCGTGAGCGTGGTATTACCATTGATATTGCCTTGTGGAAGTTTGAGACCACTAAATACTATTGCACTGTCATTGATGCCCCTGGACATCGTGACTTTATCAAGAACATGATTACTGGTACCTCTCAGGCTGACTGTGCTGTCCTTATCATTGACTCCACCACTGGAGGTTTTGAAGCGGGTATTTCAAAGGATGGACAGACCCGTGAGCATGCTCTCCTTGCCTTCACTCTTGGTGTGAAGCAAATGATTTGCTGCTGCAACAAGGTAGAGTTTTGCCTTTTTTTTACCTATGAAGTTTAATAGCTTTTCAGATTCAGCCTAGTTATTATTTTATTGTTTTTTGCTAATTATTCTATTAATTTCTTTTCAGATGGATGCCACAACACCCAAATACTCAAAGGCAAGGTATGATGAAATTGTGAAGGAAGTTTCTTCCTACTTGAAGAAGGTTGGTTACAACCCTGATAAGATTCCATTCGTCCCCATCTCTGGTTTTGAGGGTGACAACATGATTGAGAGGTCCACCAACCTCGACTGGTACAAGGGTCCAACCCTCTTGGAGGCACTTGACCAGATCAATGAGCCTAAGAGACCATCTGACAAGCCACTCCGTCTCCCACTTCAGGATGTCTACAAGATTGGAGGTATTGGAACTGTTCCAGTGGGTCGTGTTGAAACTGGTATCCTCAAGCCTGGTATGGTTGTTACCTTTGGTCCCTCTGGATTGACCACTGAAGTTAAGTCTGTTGAGATGCACCATGAGGCTCTTCAGGAGGCTCTTCCTGGTGACAATGTTGGCTTCAATGTTAAGAATGTTGCTGTCAAGGATATCAAGCGAGGATTTGTTGCCTCAAACTCCAAGGATGATCCTGCCAAGGAAGCAGCCAACTTCACTTCCCAAGTCATCATCATGAACCACCCAGGTCAGATTGGAAATGGTTATGCTCCTGTCCTTGATTGCCACACTTCCCACATTGCTGTCAAGTTTGCAGAGCTCTTGACCAAGATTGACAGGCGTTCTGGTAAGGAGCTTGAGAAGGAGCCCAAGTTTTTGAAGAACGGTGATGCTGGTTTTGTTAAAATGATTCCCACCAAGCCCATGGTTGTGGAAACCTTCTCTCAATACCCTCCACTTGGACGTTTTGCCGTGAGGGACATGAGGCAGACTGTTGCTGTTGGTGTCATCAAGAGTGTGGATAAGAAGGACCCAACTGGAGCCAAGGTGACCAAGTCTGCTGCCAAGAAGGGTGGTAAGTGAACCGAGCTGGTTTTGGCTGATTCAGCGGAAATATATCATGGTTACTTCAACAAAAGTCTGGTTCTTGTTAGTAGGTCAATCATTGGAAGTTTAGTTGCATGTTTTGATGATTATAGTTTCAAGTCATTACCTTATTCTCGAGGATATTGTTCACAGAATTGGGTTCTTGATCGGCGGTGGTGAGGTTTTATTTTCTGAGTCTGTATTCTGTAGTGTCTTGTTTGCAGTGTCCTATGAGTTAAACTTTAAATTGTTTTTATGTTTGTTTTCCTATTATAACCAGCTCAGGAGTTTTAGGTCTCTTCCTGGGCTCCTCTCCCGGAATGTTTTGTCAACATTTTATATAATCTAAACTGGTTTGTTACCCTATTATTTTGCTATGTTATTTTTACGGTAATTAATTTGTTTTTGAGTATCATAACCTGCATGATTTCCTTCTTTGTTTGAAGCAAGTTGCCAAGATTGCTAAGGTAACTGTTAACCGCACTAGTGTCGTATGAAGGAGAAAAGTGGTTTTAGCAAGCCTGCAGTTTGCATATGCTTTTAAATATTGTCACTGATAATGGCCAGATATGGTACTTGTAATTCACGGAGATCTTTTCTACCATTGCTAGTTGTATGCCTAGAATTCCTAACCAAACAGTTACTGCAAAGATTATCTTGCAAATTAAGTTAAACGGCCTAGTTATAGTATTTTTTTTTACATCATCCCCCAAGATATTTGAACTTTGCTGTATGATTTATGAACACATCATTGCTACCAAAATAAATTAGCCCCATTCATAAACCCATATTATCAAGAACATCATGGACACAAAATTAGAGTAAAAAAAAAAAAGAAAATAAAAATTTTACTAGCCAAGGCCCCAAACTATTAACAGCTCCACCCATATCCCGAACTAACAAAAGTACTGGCAAAAAAGGATACAACTGATAATTAAAAAAACAAAAAGACAAAAGAAAAACTAGACTTTCCAGGATTCTAGAGTGGGAAAGCTGGGAAAAGTGTCAGAGTCAACGGTAGCCCCAGTTGAAGCTACAACCTCAGCCACCACAGAAGACTGAAACGGAAGAAAGCTGGACCCAACAACTGCTCCCGAAGATGGCTGCTGATGATCCAATAGGAACGCCGAGGTGTCCAGGGTAGGTAGGTATCCAGGCCCAGCATCACAGGACAACCGGCTTCCGGGTCTCTGCGGTTCTGGCTTCAAGATCGGATTCAGAGACATCTGTGCATTACCAAATCTGACTCCGGTCACCTGTTGCACCATGTGCCTGAAATTGGCCGGATCCGCTGTTATAAAGGTGGTTTGAGAGCGTTTGGAGGAGCGAGACTTGCGTTTGGAGACTTTCCCAGTGGGAGGGGGGTTGGCGGTCCGCTGACGTTTTTGTGCGGTTTCAGGGTCAGAGCCTAGAACGTTTGACGCACTGGGCGTAGCCGTAGATGAGGTGTTTGGGTTGATGAGGCTCAGGAGCGGGGACAGGGAATCGGAGTTGGAAAAAGAATTAGAGATGGACTTCTGGAGCGCTCTGGTCAGAGTTTCGGTATCGCGAGCAAAGGCTTCGGAGATCAAGGAATCAGCAAAGCTGGGACGAAACGTCCACGGTTCGATGTTTGCCAGGTTTTCCAGTGATGCCATCAGGTATTGGTACTCTCTCTGTTTTCCAAAAAAAAAATTTTTTTTTCTTTATGCGGACCTAAAAATGCAAAAGAAAACTTCACAAGAAAAGAATCATCCAGTTGTTATGATTGGTATGGCTGTAGAATTTTCATCCATTTTCGCTAAAACCAAAAAAGAGAGTGATTCCACATGGGGAAACAGAAAGCAGAGAGGGAAAGGGGAGGGTAAGGGGAGATTCACAAAGAAGTTTAAATAAGGCGGTGCTTGATGGGGGGGGGGGACCGCGTCGTGGTTACAGGGGACACGCGTCAGGTTTCTCGAACGAAAATTGAGCGAAGCTAAGTTAAGTCTGTCTAACCATGGTTTATAAAACATTTGTGTTGTAGCGACTAGTGTAGTGGCTTTGAGCTACTTATTTGACCGCCAAAGCCGCATATTTCGGCGTCCTCCCATTATTATTATTATTATTTGGTTTTTCCTTTTTGATTTTCTTTCTTTCCTTATCAGCTGTCGAACCTTCCTCTTGAAGTTGAAGCGTCAAGCACGACAAAATGGGAGCCAGTAAACTCCCTTATTATTATATTATATTTTTTTTCTATTAACAACACTTTTTTGTCTTTTTTTTTAACTCATTCCCTGTTTGTTTGTCCATCACTACTACCTTTCTTCCCTTTTCTTTTTTTTTTTAATTTTCCTTCTTGTTCAAAATTTTCTCCTTTATTTGGCCAGGATGGCCCATTTTTGGCCAACAGTCCTCTTTTTTTTTTTTTTTTATATGCGAAAAACTCATTATATTTTGGTTGCATCGTGCAAGGTAACTCGTTACTCTTTTTAAGGTACTTATTACGTTTTAATTCCCATTATTTTTGGAAAAAATTATTATTATTATTTTCTCACATTTTCTTATCGGTACTTTTTAACATTTCTGTTTTCTAGAATTCTCAGTTTCCTTCGTATCACCATTTCATAATCAAAGTTGCAAAGTTAAGCATACAAAATTATCTGAATTTAAAAAATTCATTCAATTTTTTTACATAAAAATTGGACTCAAACAATTTGATTAAAAAAAATCTACCATGTGAATCGCACAATTTAAAATAATTTTAATTTTAATTAAATAAAAATTTAAAATATTCAAACTCATTAAAGATTAACTCAAATTAAATTGATTTCATTTAAAAATTTAAAAATTCAAATTCAAATATTACTAACTGTTTAACATCATCAAATAAAGACAATAAAATGATTATCAATCAATCACATAAAGACGTGCCATAATTAAAGGTAACCAACGATTGGGTTAATAAGAATCCGTAAGAATTGGTTCATGGGTGCAGGAAGGTAGAAAAGCGTATGTTAAAGAAATGAGAGAAATGAAAGCAAGAGAAAGAAACTTTAGTAAAGAAAAGGAAAAGGTGGGATCAGCTGTAGAGCTTTTAAGGTTTTCATTTCGCCGGTGGATGAGTTATTTAACTGACCCCTTTTTGACATTTTTTAAACTTTTTTTTATATATCTTATAAGGAAAAGAATAGTAAAAGGGTCTAAGTAATCGTTTGAATCTTATAATATTTTTAATATAATATGATTAAGTTTATTATATTTTTAGTTAAATTCAAACATCAACTTAAAATAATCAAATTAACATAAACTTTTTTTCAATCTTAATTATAATTTTTATTTTTAATCATAATTATAATATATTTTATTATTAATTTTAATTTTACTGTAATTAATTTTATCGCTAATCTAATGGAACTTAAGATGGCTCTTGTGGCTTTGGTTGTTTAGAAGCGTTTGGCTTTGAATCATGACTATTATTCTCCTTTTTCTCTTTTCTCTGGGAAAAAAAATAAATCCGAAATTTTTGGTTCAGAATGTACCAAAATGTGTTTACACATTTTCATCATTTTTTTTTGTTTTTTTTAATTGTATTATTCCTCCAACAACTACCACGTGTCTTTGACTCTTTGGTAATTCTAATTTCTATATCCTTTGCCTTTTCTCTATTTTTTGTGTTATTCCAATTAATTTAATTCTTTGCCATGATATTAGATAATAGATACCTCATACCTATATAATACCTTAAAAATTAATTTAAACATTTTTTTAAAAAATACTAGTTTTATTGTTTAATTTGTTAACACAAACGTTTTTTTTTCCTTTTTTCTAAATAAAAAATTATAGTTTTGATATATTTTTTGAAAAATTAATTTATCTTGTGAAAACAATCAGTTTTTTAAAGTTATTTTTAAAAAATAAATTATGCTCTAAACCATAAAATGTATTACAAAATTTATATTTTGTTTAATAATTATCAAATTATTAAATAGAACAAAAATTTTCTTCTTATTGTTGATTTTTTTGTTTTTCATTTTTCTTTTCTTTACTCATTTTGGCTTAAGATAAAACAGAATGAAGAAATAAAAAATTGAAAAAAAGATAAATTTTTATTTTTATTTTTTAAAAAAACTCAATGTATTCTTTTCTTAAAAATCTATTTTAAAAAACAATAATTTAGATTTAAATCATAGAAATTATTTTAAATTTAAATTATAGAAAGAATGAAAAAAATAAAAAATGGAGATGAAAATTATTTTGAAAAAAAATTAATTTTTTGAAAATTTAATTTAAAAATTTTAAATAATAAATTATTTATTAAAAATATTTTTTTGAAAAATTAAATATAACTCTTAACTATAAAATTATAATAAAATACAGTTTTTTAGTTAAATGATTTTTCGTAATTTTCCAAAAAAGAAAAATATTGTCATGGGTCATACCCTCTTCTTTATTTCTTTCTCAACGAATTTGTCTAATTTGCCTTGACTTATATTTGTACTATGCGACTAAAAAATAAATAAATAAAATTCGTTTTTATATATATATTTAAAAAAAAATAATCGACGATGGTGGAATCTTTTTAAATAAAAATTAATTCAAAAGTTGGAAAGAAAACAAAAAAGATGGCGTCAGCCAGGATGTAAGTGATGACCTGTCATGAGCTAATGATGACGTAGAGAGTAAACTTTATTTAAATAGTATAAGAAAAAAAAGATAGGATTTTGCATTGACGGTTCTCTTGTCCTTTTATTCTTTCTCGGCTCCGCTCGGCTCGGCTCGCCTCTGGCCACAGCTCTTAACATCTTCGGATTTTATGCTACCGCCGTTATAACGACCTTTGGTTGCGTCTACCCAGGCTGATAACACGTTTTTCGTTGTTTCTTCTATCTCAAATTTTTTTTAATGTTTTAAGATTATTTTCTTTTATTTCTTAAAAAAACCCAATAATCTTACTTTAAGCAAATGTTCAAATTTTCACTTATCATTGTAAGTTTTTAAGAAATATAGTAACATATCAAATAATTATAGAAGCAAATCTAGATGTAAAACTAAGTATATTAACAGTTTAATATCATTATAAGAATATAATAACGGTGATCCGAGTGATGAGAAATTTAATTTTTTTTAAATAATATCTCAATTTTGAATTTTAAAAATAAAAAAATAGATTTTAAAAAAATTAATTTTTTTGTATAAAATTTAATCCAATTTGATTTCGAAATAATCAAAATCCAAAATAATTATAGAACGTTGAAAAATTTCAAAACAAAAAAATAATTATCTATTCCAATGTTAACCTAAATTTTCAATATCAATTTACCCAATTTCATGAACCTCCGAGGGTTTACTTTTTGTTCTTTTGTTTGAATAGATTTTTTTAAAAATCTTTTTCGTTTATGCAACAGTTAATTACAGTTGTCCACAAATGTTGACATTTCAAGTTCTAGGGCTAATTAAGAAGAGAGTTTTTTACTAGAGTAATACTTCAATTTATTTCCACAAGTATATTTACCAATTTATAGAGAACAATCTCAATCATATTGTGAATAGGCCTCTAATATAAATTTCTATTGATAATAAAAATTCTAACCTAACTCATATTAATAATTAGATAATGTATATGTGGATACATTTGGCAGCCAATGAAATCTCTTTAGGGCTTGCTTAGTATTATTGTTAAAAGCAGTTTTTACGTTCAAAACTACTTTGATTCAAACACAATATTAAAAATTTTGACTTTTTAATTTAAATACTTGATTTTCCAACCCAATCCAAAAAACTTTTTAAAAGGTGTTTTTGCGATGAAAAAAGTACATTTAAGGTAACTTTTCTTCTTTTTTTTTTTTGAGGAAAAATATTCATTAGATTATATTAATTAAGTTTGAGTAGCTGTTACAGTTTTTACCAACAATATCAATCAAGAAACCGGGACAATCCTCTACCTAGATTACATCCCTCTCAACACGTTCTTCATATTTTGCAATTGGTGTGTTATCATGTTGCCTTATCTTCTTGTATGCCTTGATGTGCAACTTTGCATTGTTCTTGCGAGCTTTCGGGCTTCATCAAGGATTATGTTGCAGGAAGCGAGATCTATGTTTGCAGTTTCCAGCCTCGTAATTATGCCCAGTGCGTCCCTTTCCAGTATGATTTTTGTAAACCCCATATCTCTAGCCAGTTCCAATGGTTTAACTGCTGCCTAGCTTTTTGCCATCCATGCATCCTGTACATCTTGTATTCTTGCAACTAAAGCCCTTAAAACTTCTCCTTCATGGTCTCTTATTATGGTCCACTCATTCTGCATGTGTGTTCTTATTGAAGCTTCCATCGAAATTCACTTTTACCTCCATGGCAGGAGGAGCTTTCCAGCCCTCAATTCTACCAATGCATGATATCTCGTTTTTCACTTGTGCTGCTTCCCACTCTTTTAAAAACGATACCACAAAACTATGAGTTTGTTGTGGACTTCTTTTTGTTCCTTCATACATTTCTTCATTTCTACCGTTCCATATAGCCCAAATTGTTATGATGAAATGCCCGAGCCTTTCTGCAATAAGATTCTCACCCATCTTTTTTATTCAGCTGGCTGCGTCGTTGATGGTATCATTCTCCGTCTCCCATACAAAACTTGCAAGGCGCAATATCTCCTTTGCCGTTGGACAATCATGTAGAGCATGAATAATTGTCTTTCATGGTTCATCACATCTTGGGTAACTTTCTTCTCCAATTATCTTCCTTGTCATTAGCTTTGATTTTACTAGTAAAATTTCGTGGATCAACCTCCATCCAAAGACTTTCACTTTATTTGGTATATTTGTGTTCCATAATCTTTTCCATTGAATCCTATCCCATCCACTTAGATGCTGTATATCCTCTGTAGCCAACATGTCTTCCTTTAAGAGTCTATAACCCCATCTAACCGAGTATAACCTATTATTATTATAGTGCCATATCTGTGTGTCAGGTTGGTTCAATGATCCTGTTGGAGTGGCACAGATAGCCTCGGCCTCCTCAGCATTGAACAGATTATGCACCAAATCCTTGTCCATTTCTTTGTCTCGGTGTCTATCAAAGCACTCATCAGCATGTTCTTATCTACACCCTCCCTGGGTTGTAAGGGTTTTATCTCACCTTTGATTTCCATCCATGTATCCTTCCATATTTTTATTCTTCCGTCCGTGCCAACTCTCCACCGAATCCCTCATTTGAGTAGGTTTAGAGCACCCCCAAATGCTGCGCCAAGTGAGGGATGGGTTACTTCTTAGTTCTGTTTCCAGGAGGTCCTCATTTGGGAAATATTTCCCTTTTAAGACCTATTTGCCAATGAAGACATTATTTTTAGCAGCCTCCATCCTTGTTTACAGAAAAGTGCCCTGTTGAAAGCTTTCATGTCACGTAACCCCATTCCCCCTACACTTTTTGTCATACACATCTTGCTCCATTTCATCCAATGTATTCCTTTCTTTTTCTTCCCACTACTCCACCAATAAGAACTCAAGATGCTATCAATTTCTTCGCATAACGACTTTGGAAAAGAGAAAACGTTCATTGCATACGAGGGTACTGCCTATAAGACCGGCTTTTTTAATACTTCCTTCCCTCATTTTGACAAAATTCGATTGCTCCACCCTTTTATCTTTTTCTTGATCCTGTCCTTTAGGTCTCCAAAAGCTCTTCTTTTTGTTTTCCCCACCATTGTTGGAAGCCCCAATTACTTCTCTGGATTGGATATGACCCGTATCCCGAATGTGTTCTTCGCTTCATTTATCCGTTTTTATCTTGTGTTGTTGTTGAAGAAAAGGATGGATTTTTTGAAGTTGGTCAATTGCCCTGAGTCTACCTGATATTTCCTTAGCATTTCCCTTATCCTTTCACTTTCCTTCCTGTTAGCTTTCGTGAACAATAAGCTGTCATCCGCCAAAAAGAGGTGAGTGACTTGTCTATGAGCTTACACCAAAATTGGCCTCCCTTCCACACTTTCTTCTAATTCTATCCAATTTTTTCTGATGCAATTTAGTTTTGCATTCGAACAAATTGCATGGGGATCTTCTCTCTTTATCAAGTCCTGGAGAGCACGAACTGCCTATGGGTTCCTAAAGCCATAGCAGTTCCAAGATATGAGCCTCATTGTCTTTGGCAGGACTAGGATCCAGTCGCCACCGTTTTTCCAAAGTTGTCCACCTCAGCCATACGATTATCCCTCTGTTTTTTCTTCTCCCTATCCAGGTCCATGAAAGTGTAATCCACGATTTGTTCTCTATCCGTTCTTTTTGCTTATTTTTGCCCATTTGTTCATGAAGGTAATCCTACATATTCCTCTGGGTTTTGGATTTAGTTTCCATGTCATTAGTAAGTCCCCCATTCATCGCATCAAGAATTACTTCTTGCTCTTTTGGGGTGCCTTCCTTAATGTTATCATTCACCATTAAAACATCATCCTTTATCCCCCCGTTAATTCCGCCTTGGATCACGTCAGCCTGCTTTTTCTATACAGTTGTAATCTCTGAGCTAGGTATGATCACGTTTCCATTTGAAACAGCCAGAAAATTCGCCCCTAATTCCATCTGTAAGTTTACGTCTCATGGTAAACTCCCTGATTTCTCGTCTTGTTCCACGCACAGACTTCTCTGTGTGTTGTTGCCATTGTTTCTGGCCGGTTGGACTACATTAATCTGCCGTTCCCTTAAGCGATCATCTGTACAGAAACCCTAGTTTCCCTACCATCCACCTATTCTCTTCCTCCTCCCTTCCCTGTATTATTTCTCCATTGGGTTGTAGACTCTCCTTTTCCTCCTCCGTTAGGTTTATGAACTTCCACAGTTCTTCTAACTCTTCAGCCATAACTCGTAATCAGAATTGCTTCACCTTTTCCGAAACTAAAGACTCCGTAACTCTAACTGTTGAAACTTTTGGTGCGAACCCAGTGACTAGCGAGACTTAAAAAAACTCCTCTCGCATAACCCAAGTTCTAAAGAGACTCAACTTTAAGGCTTTGTTTGGTCGGATTGTTGAAAAAATATTTGAATAGAAAATTTATTAATTTAATGATTAAAACTTATAACTATTCTTTTATTTTGTAGCTTAATTAATAAATTAATAAATTTTTTATTCTCATCTCCTTCAATCCTTTCTACCAAGCAAAGCCTAGAAATTTTATATGGCAGCTCCTTTTGAGCTAACCAAAAGACATCTCAACAGTAAACCAAAATATAAAATAGTGTATTTAGTATGAAAGGAAGACAAAGACCCTTTGCTTTGGAACTTATATAATCTATAAGTAATTTTTAAAATGAGTAAGTCAATTTAAAAAAATTGTTATTGTGTTACATGTACCATTATGAAATGTTTTACCATCAATACAAATATAGATATAAAATAAAAATTCATTAAAATTTTGAAATCATTATATAAAATAAAAAATACATATATATATAATTTGAATATAAATCTATAAAATCAAAATTAAAAATTAAATATTGAATTAAGCTTTATCAAAATAAATTTACATATTTAAATATAAAAAACTCTCACCTCAATCCCTAATTTTAAATTTTAATACCTAAAGTATCCTTTTGCCTCAAATTTATTCCAAGCACATGTCAACGTAATAAATTATGTAGTTAACTTTCATTTTAAAAAATTTGCTATTGTGTTACATATATCACTATGAAATGTTTTACCATCATAAAAAAAATATAGATATAAAATTAAAAATAATAACATTTTATTTATTCAATTAATTGTTTTGTTTATTTTTATCTTACATTTTTAAAGTAATTTGATAAATCTAATTCATGCATACATTTTTCCATGCATTGTTTTTGTCAAATATATGTTTTTTTTTTTTTTTTTACAAATTTTAGACGTGGATAAAGATGAGTAAATAAAATAAAAAAAATGAGAAATAAAAGTCCAAAATAAAAAAATACAAATACAAATAAAAATAATATATTTTCTTTTTTGTTGAGTTGGAAAGGGAGGATTGAAACTCTGTTTTCTTAATTAAGAGATTATACACAAATCAGTGAATCAAATATTTGGGTGAATAATAATAATAATAATAATAATAATAATAATAATAATAATTATTATTATTATTATTATTATATTTAACCTAAAAACAAATAACAATAACAATAATTTAAAAAAAAACAAAGATTCAATTATATTAAAAACAATATAACACTATTAAAAAACTTATATTAGTAATAATAAAATTAAGATAATAATTTAAAAATATTTATTTTTAAAAAAATTTAAAATAATAAAATTTAATTTATTGAATTAGTATGAAAACGAAAAACAAACAAAAAATTGCAAAAAGAGTAACGAGTTAGAACCACAGTTGACATATGGCATCCATAAGTCCATTGTAGTTTGTTTTTATATTAGGTATAGAAAATAAACCCATTGTCATTAGCTTTTATATTCGTTATAGATTATAGAAGATAAACCCAATGTAATTGCTTTTATATTACAATTAATTTAATAAATACAAAATAATCTTTTAAATTTATTCCGTCAATATTTTTTTAAATTAACTAAACGTATCAATACTAATTCTTGTTATATCCTATTATCAAATATCATAATAATTATTTTATTATATTATATTTTTTTAATTCCTACAAAATATCTATTTTATTCATCCTATTCTATGTAGTGGATCAACCCTGCCATGAATGACTGAAAAATGAAATTGCAAAAAACTTACAAGGAACCATGGCCCATGTTACTTGTTGCTAAGTCCATGACTGAGTGGGTTGCAGCAGCATAGGCCCATCAAGGCTTTTTCTTAATAAAAATAATAATAATAATAAGTCCACTTGTTTCATTTGTTTTTTTAATGGTGTGGAGGCTGGCGGAGAAAAAGAGCATTTATCTGGCTTATCCACTACGGGATTGCAAAGAAATGGCTCTCCTCAGATTTAATCCACTTCCCTGTACCACTTCTTCTTCAGTTTCTTCTTGCTCAAAATTCTTTCCCATTGCTGTTTTACCAAGTAAGTCACCCTTTCTTTTTACTTGATATTCTGTGGGGTTTTTCATCGAACATTTGTTGACATTTTGAGTCCTTTGATAACGCGTTGTAATGTAAATATTCTTTATCTTGTTTGAAAAATTTTGAATTGGTTGTCAGTTTACAGGATGCGGCTAAAAGCCATTGATCATCCTCCCTCAAAATGTTTAATTGCCACACAATTTGTACCCAACAAGAAAAGATTGGCCATGACTGTAAAAGCATCTTCTGCAAGTACCGATGGCGAGGCGCAGCTTCCAGCAGAAACCAAGAAGGAAGCTTTGCCAGTGGAACGGCTGCCTTTAGAGTCTAAGATGCAGCAGATGATGGAGCAGAAGATGAGGATGAAGCTGGCCAAGAAAATAAGACTTCGTAGAAAGCGACTTGTTCGCAAGAGGAAGATGAGGAAGAAGGGACGATGGCCGCCTTCTAAGATGAAAAAATTAAAGAATGTGTGACCTTAGCAGGTTTCGTCCTCACCCTTTTGCTTCTATTTGTAGATGTTATTATTTATCTATCTTTTTGTTAATCAGTGATGAACTCTCAGTGAACTGAATCTGCTTGCTGTTATTCAATTTCTTTTTGGCTAGATTCTAGACTTGTATTTCTTTATCCGATTTGATAGACAAATGTCCCAAGTACCTGCATGATTTTGCCATCTTTTAAGCACAATTATTTCAGCTAATTTTTTTTTAATTTAAAAGATTTCACCAAGCATCAATCAACTCCGAGTTAGTGTCACGGACCGCGTATGAGTTCTAGACAAAAAGGATACATGACAAGACTTGCTCAAAATGGTGTGGATAAAGTACCAAGAAATATCGAAACCGAAACTTTAAAAGCACATACGTTACCTTAATGCCTAATGCGGTCCAAAACCAAAGTTGGAGTACAAAAATATATTCGTGATGAACTGTACGGTACTAGGCATGAGAACTCCCGGCCCGTGACATTAGCATGATCAATGTCATATCAGCAACTTTTACATGGAAAATTTGACGATGTTAATAGTTGCAATAACATCAACAAATTTTAATAAACTAAAGGGATCCTTTCATGGGAAGAGAGATTAAATCACAGCAACTTTATCTTAACATAAAGACTAATTGCAAATTTGACATTTTTTTCACATAAATTCCAAAAATTTTCTAATCTAAAAAATCTACACAATAGACTAAAATTATTCTTACTGAAAATTAAAGCTTAATTGTCCTCAAACCTTGATTTTAAAAGTGCTTGATGAAGACATAGAAAGCCTGATTTTGAATCAAGCTGTCCCTTCCTTCCCCCGATGTATCTTGTGAAAAAAAAAAAAAAACCTTAATTCATGAACTATTAATATATATTTTACCAACATTTATCGGTTAAAAATTTTGATTTTTTAAAATAAGATTTTGATTTTAAATCTTATGAATAAAAAAAATAGATATTAAAAAAAATTATTTTTATTATTGAGTTTGATTCGATTTGAATCCAGATTAATTGAGATTTAAAGTAATTATCGAATACCAAAAATCACAGATAAAAAAAAATTAATATTTAATTTAAATTATGATGTAAGAGTTAAATTAGGTATAATATTATAATCATTTTAGCTAAATTTATTACAGTTGTATCTTGCTTTAGTATTTTAAAATAGGCCATCATTATATCTTATTTTAGAATAGCTCTTGACCGGGACTCTTTTTGATATTGTTTGTATTTATTTTCAACTCATCATGCTGTATTAGTTTTAGTAGTTAAGGTTGACACGTCCTTAATCCCATTATAAATGCGCCTGAATAGGAAGAATTAAAAAAAAAAAGGACTGAATAGGTGGAGATAAAAGATTAGTCCTAAACTTTAAACTTGTTTGTGGCCAAAAAAGGAAAAAAAACCCTTTAATCTTGTCTAAAGTTTAGTCCTGTAAATTGATTTTAATCTAATAAAAAGATATTAACATTAAATTTAGACTTTAACTCTAAATAAATTTATAATTAAAATCTCAATGTTTATATATATTTTATTTATAAATTACAATTTCCTTTGTATTTTTATTGTATTGAAAAAAAAAAACAAACAAACATCATCTATTTCAGGAATAAGAAACCTAAAAACAAAAACGCCTCGTGAGAGACAAATTGAGACTTAAAGAAACAAGGACTGCAGAATAGGTTGTGACGGCACGTTTTGCTCAACTTGGTTCGGCTAATAGGATCTGGTGACTATTACTAGAACAACAATGATAACTGTTTTTTTTTTTTTTTTTTTTTAAATAAAAATCGAATTCTAGAATAATAAATACTGGAAATTTCTTTTAAAATGAAAAAAAAAAAGTAATAGTATAACTATACAAGGAAGGAGAAGAACAGAAGGCGCGTAAAAGGCGCGAGGAATTGAAACATCCGCCTAACTCAGCGTGCTTGCAATTTGCCAGCTTGATTTTATTTATTTAATTTTATTTTTGGGAGAGGGGGAGGAAGAGAAAGAAACAGAAAACAAAATCTGAGAAGGCAACAAACAAGGTTGTCTCTTTTCTCTTCTTTTCTTTCTTTCCTTTTCTTAAAAAACAAAGAGATAATAAAGAAGGAAAGGGAGAGAGAGAATGATAGCTTGGTACAATCCGTCTTGGTTGTTGTAATGTTGGCAGAGAGAGGAGAGAGGGCAGCAGCTGCAGCTGGTGTTTGCTTTTGATTCAGAAACCTCTCTCCGTCTCTCCTCACTGCTCGTAGATTGGCAAGCGAATTGAGTCACATGCACATCATCAGTCTTAATTATTTGAATTTCTGGAAGATGAACGAGCTTTGGTTTGGTTTGGGTGTATGATATTAGGAATTAATTACTAGATACTTGGGCTTTTTATTCATTCTGCTTCTTTTTCTCCTTTGTTATCATCAATTGTCATCATCGACTCAATCAGCAATGGTCCGGAGTAGCGATCCTAAACCCAAGAGGCTTTATCAAGTTTGGAAGGGGAACAATGTGAGTTTCTTCCTCCTCTTCTTCTTTTCTCTTTCAATTGCGATGATGCGTTTTTTTCGTTTTCGGTTGTGGAAGCTATGATTTAATATCACTCTCCTAACTTACTCTGTGGGACACTGTGACTCCTTTTTTTGGCTTGTTTTTCTACCGAACAATGGATGCTCATCATTTCCTTATGTCCATTGGATTTTGCAATTATGTTGATTTTCTTTTCCATATATCCTTCGTTTAGCTCAATTATGAATGAAGCTTTCATGAATTGAATGAGAGCCTGGGTTGCTATATTTCCATACTAAAAAAGATTCTCATAAATAAATTTTTAGAGTTGTTGCACACTCTGCATCACATTTATTTCATCGTCAATCTGGAGATTCTTCAAACCTCCTAAAAGAAAAATCCGAAAACGAAAGAAAGAAAAACCAAATATTTTGCTCAATCGGAGTTCACTTTGTATAATGTTGACCGCATTTGTGTGTTTGCTCAATCAGAAATTTAGGTACTACATAGTTTATTATTATTATTGTTATTATGACTAAGTTTAATAATTAATGAGGGTTTCGTTGTTGTTCATTTTGTTCTAACAGAGATTCTTTTGTGGTGGGAGATTGATCTTTGGTCCGGACATTGCATCGTTGTTTCTATCCACACTTCTTGTTGCTGGCCCTGCCGTTGCTTTCTGTATAAGAATGTATATGAAGATCAAAGATGAAAATACCAAACATTTTGGTCGCAGTTATTCCATATTAATTCTGGGTGCCGTACTCTCAGCATTGGTAAGTTTTTTTTTTGTTTGGTTGGGCTTCTAGAGGTGGTCGCTGGTACAGAATTATACTAGCCAAATAGTATTCAAACCAGTAAACAAACTGTTTTGAACATGGCTATTTCATTTAATTTTTAAATTATAATTTATTTTACATTCTTATGTAATTTTTTTTTGGTTAAATTTTTGCACTTTATCTTGTATTCCAATGTTCTTGAGCAACAACATAAAAGCTCCTAAAGTTTTATTTGATTAGGCACTTAAGTAGTCCTCACTTTATAATCAATTTTATATGGTGGGTGTTGAATAGAGACCTAACTGCATTTGCATGAAAGAAAGCGAGCTTGGTGTATGAGGACAATTTTGATGTAACATGTAGCCTCTTTTGTGTAAGCGGGCTATGGGATAACTTTTCTTTAGGTTTTCCATGGCCCTTGAGTACATTATATTTCATTTAAAAATTGCACTGATGATTAATGTGTGCACATATATATAATATGTAATATATATTTATATATATATAATTATCTATCTCATCTTTTCTTTCTCCATTGGCTTCTGGCAGGATTTGCTGTTTCTTTTCTGTACCTCTGGTAGAGATCCTGGAATTGTACCTAGAAATTCAAAACCTCTTGAATCAGATGAAGCATTTGATGAGACTACCCCATCTATGGAGTGGGTCAGTGGTAGAACTCCTCATTTTAAACTTCCTCGAACAAAAGATGTAATAGTTAATGGCCACTCTGTGAAAGTAAAGTACTGTAACACCTGTTTTCTCTATCGTCCTCCCCGAACATCTCATTGTTCCAGATGCAACAACTGTGTTCAGAGGTTTGATCATCACTGCCCATGGGTTGGTCAATGCATTGGAATAGTAAGTTTAAGTTTACTCTATGCAAACTTTGTTGTAGACTAAATGTACTTACTGGTAGGATGTACTTAAATAGTGAGTGTGAAATATTTTTCTTGACATGACTTGAATTAGATTGGCATAAATATGGTATTTTATAACAAGAGGTCAACTGGGCTTTGTCATAAAGATTTTGTTTAGAGTATGAGGACTGAAATAAATTCTATACTGGCAATTCATTATTGTCTTTTTAAGCTTGATTGGAAATGCTAGCTATTGATTCTTTCTTTCAAATCTGTTGCTGCCTTATTATCCATATCTCTAAAAAGAGTCATGCTTTATGCTCTTGAGGTAGGTCCAGAGGGACCAAATTTGCATGAAATGTGTACTGTTAGAAAGAAAGGAAGAAATTTAAGGTTTTAAAGCTAAATTTTAGGTTTAAATGGGTGAAAAGGTGGGACATTAAAAGAATAATTTGCGTTTCTATTAAATTTGGTAGGGCATTAATGCCAAGATGACAAAACAAGGCAATCAAAAAGCTGTTTAGAAGCTGTTTTGGCACGGTGAAAGGTACTTTAAAGTTTATGGTTGAGTTTGGATGGTTTATTCAAGTTGATGTAATTGGGGATTGATTTCAAATCTGAACTATGAACTGGACACAGCAGAAAACCAAATGAGAATGAATAAGGAGATATTGGTAAGCTTCACCTCTATTGTTCCTTAAGAGTCTCACTTAGACTTGATTGCATCACACAAGCACTGGACCAATATTGCATGGGAAAATCTATGAGAAGAACTTTCTACAACAGTAGAGGATTATATTGGTATATGCAAAAACCTCTGGAGTCCATCTAAAAAGGACTAGAACTCTAAACCTTACTTGTATTTGACCTAAAAATGAATAAAAAATTATAATTAAAACCTAAAATATAAGAAAGTATGAAATAAAACCTGTAGACTCCAAATTTGCAATTTTCAGTAGATCAACACTATCAGTATCCCTAACACTTAAAATTCAAGGAAGGAGAAAATGAAATTAAATTTTGAACCTAATGGAAAGGAACACATCCTACAACTCTATAATGACTATTCTAGTCAACTATGGTCTTAAACCAGTTCAACATCAAATGAAGACCTAAATCTGAAATATTCTTGAAATATGATCTTGGCTTTTCTTGGCAATTTTGTCTTGTATATCACCGCTTTTAAATTAGTATTAACAATTTGAACATATAATTGGTTCTTTTCATTAAACCTAAAAATTGCACATGGAATTTCCATTTCATCTTGTTGAGGATATTTTATGTATTGGCCATTGTTTGCTGCCAGTTGGAAAATTTAATGTTTATGATTTACTCGGCATTTTTTTTTTGTATATCACCCCTTTTAATTTAGTATTATCAATTTGAACAGTTTAAATGGTGCTTCTCATTAAACCTGAAAATCACGTGTGGAATTTCAATTTCCATTTAATCTTGTTGAGGATATTTTATGTATAGGCCATTGGCTGTGGCCAGATGGAATTTTTAATGTTTAAGATTTACTATAATTTTTCATATTGTCTTCAAGATTATTGCTTGTCTAGATATATGTTCTGCTAAATTGCACAAGTTGTAAAATTATGGTGCCAATAAGGTCACTCCAAAATAAAGTTGTTGCACAATCTTGTATTCAATCTCTAAATGGATGAATTTCAGTTATATAATTGTGAAATGTTATAATTTATTTGTGGTTGAAATTAATGGTGTTTTTGACGTCTGTGGTGGTTGCAGCGTAACTATCGGTTCTTCTTTATGTTTATATCAACCTCAACCATCTTGTGCATATATGTCTTTGTCTTTTCTTGGATCATTGTCCATGAAAAGGAAATTGACAATCATAGCAATATTTGGAAGGCTATGTCACATGATATCCTATCCATTTTTCTCATAGTCTACTGCTTCATAGCTGTATGGTTTGTTGGTGGCCTTACAATTTTCCATTTCTATCTGATTTGCACCAACCAAGTAAGTTTCTTGTCAAAGTTCCATGTTTCATTGAATAAATAGTTACATTTCATTTATTATCATGTTATATGTTTATGTCCCTGTGAATACTTTGACTGACAGTGTAAATCTTGAATTGATTGGCTGTATAACTGTCTGTACCACCTTTTCTGTTTGGTGCCTTTAGCCTATTGGCATGACTGGAACTGTAGTAAAAAATGTTGTTGAGGTAGAGCTTTTGGAAAAGTGTTGTCAGATTGAAATTATTTGAAATAATTATGAATATTTGTTGTCTATTTATGTATTTGATGAAATCATTCTATTAGATTGTCATTGGAGCTCTTTTCCCAAGCTTTAAGTTGAAGTTTCATCTTTTTAAGTTGTAGAAACTCATTTTTGGTTTTAATAGAAACTAAAGTTATTGTTCAAAAGCCTTGATTGGCACTACTCACCTTTCTACAACAGAGAAGCTGGTGCAAAAGCTGGCAAATAGGCACTTGAATTTCAAACATAGTATTTAAATTCTTGACTGCCCCGCATGTCCAGATAATACAGTACAAACTTAAGAAAGTGGATGAAAAAGTTGAGGAGAAACTTGAAATCCAAAGTCATGCAGGATAGAGGGAAGATGCTTCAAGGGTTAAAATGTTAAGATTTTAGGTCATAGGGTAATATATTTTATGGGCTTGATTGTAATTATATATAGATATATATTATATTCAATTATTTTGGTATTTAATGTTAATTCATGTTTTGCTTATTTACCAAGTACTAAGGCATTAGGGTAATATGCTATTTTGCCTCTATATCAGAATTTCCCCTTTCTAGTTTCTAATATTTCCTCTCCCTCTTCTATATCACAAAGTCATGCAAGAAAAGAAATTGGAAGAAAAATTGAAAATCATGGTGGGAGCTGAGTATTACAAGTGAGTTTTTCGGCAATGTTGTTTTCCTGGATGAAAAAAATAAGTACTTAAGATCAAAGGTGACAGTAGATCAATCCCTAGATAAAAAGTATAAGGCCATCATCGCTATATTCAAGTGAATAGTATATATATATTTGATTGTAGGTATATCAGGCCATCTAAATGTCCATTATTGTTTTGTTTGTATGTCTTTACTATAATGTTTAGGCCTTATAGACGCCAATTTTTTAAGAGTACTTGAATCTGAGTCTATGGTGCTGTCTCCTTAGTGGACCGTCAGTTACTGGTTAGTCATGTAGATTTTTATTTGCAACTGCAAATGCCACAGCATTTTGTAGGGGCTGAAATATTCTCCTAAAGAATGGATGAATGGTGTAAATAAGTAGATAAGTGGATGACATAGTTGAGTATACCGTATCTACTAAGTTCATATATCAACTTATATGCACATCAATAAACATTCATGCATCTATCACCTCTTTTTGGTGGTGCCATTAATTTGATTTAGACATGTGCTTAGGTATAATGTATACCTAGAAAATTCCACCATAGAAAGAAATACTATACTTGAAAAATACTGGCATTTAGAAACCTTTGAAGCCATGTAAGTCCCTGGTTAAAAAAGTAGCTTCTTGATTTCTTTTCTTTATTTAATATTAGGGGACAATAAAATAGTGTTCTTTTTTCCAGTTCTTTGTTTACACCATATTTTCTATTTAATCTCCTAATAATACTCCCTTTTGAACAGTCATACCACCTATTTTCTCGGCATAATTAGTACAAATCATATTACTACAAATTTCTGTAATTATATGCAAATGAGCATAATTGTAGCTAATTTCTGTCATCCCTTTATAGTTTTTACTAAAAATATTCAGTGTACCTATAAACATAAGACAGTATAGAGGTGTGTTTCTTCATTCTTCCATCTAGGTATTTCAAATCATTGCACAATAGAAATCTAAAATATTTACAAAGTTGAGTGTAATCATAACTCATATATTCATGGGATAATCATATATTACACATCTGAAATCTAGATCCCTGCTCTCAAATTTAAGTTCCCAAATGCAATGTTGTTTAACTGTCTTGACTAGAATTTATTATTTTGCTCAAATGTGTAATAAAGGGTTTGACTCTATGGTATTCTGACTCGGGTTTCAATTTTTTCGTATTTCAGAGGGTCGGAGTTCATTACTCTAGTTCATTAGGTATGTCTAGGACGTAGGTACTTCAAGGCAAACAAAGAGTTGAAGTAAACAATTTAGTTTGATCAAGGATTTCATTATACTAACTGTTTAATTAAGGAAAACTGCTAATACATTCCCTTAGAATTGTTAAGGCCAGCTGCATGGCCTAAAAGATGACAAATAGACAAAATTTTTTATTTTATTTTATTTTCTATCTACTTTTGCCTTTTCATTTTTCTTGTTTCTTTCTCTGGATTGGTTCCTTTTCTCCAGCCACACTTCTGAACACCCCCATTACAATTCTAGTCTTGGACCAAGGACATTTAACTCCTGAAAAGAAGGTTTTGTATGCTGTTTCAGTTAGGCTTTGCCTAGTCTGGTGGAAAAGTGGTAACAAAATTATTTTTCCATCCACTTTTCCATCTTTCCTACTAAGCATGGCAATGGAAAGAAAATACGTTGTCCTTCATTTTGCTTTTCTCCTACAATTTCTATCCACTCTACCCAGCAAAATCAATATCATCTCACAGAATCTTTTTCATCCCACCAGCCAAGCAAAAAGTTAAACCCATAAGCTCAGGTCACCACATCCATCAAAAACCAAAATCTCATACACATCTGCATATTTACTGCAAATAATCCAACTTTTGCCAAACAAGACAACCATCATATTGATCTAGTAAGAATGAGAGTATAAGGAGGTGAGAGGAACTTCTAAGCTGCCCTTTTTTTTGCAAGTCAAATCATATTTTATTAAGACGGCAGGGGAAAAACACTGCCATTGACTGTCAGTTACATAATAAAACACCTATCAAATTTCAGAATCCCATTACCTAAACATCTCATTTTGCTCAACCCCTCTTATAAGCTAAAAACATCTTCTATTCCATTAGCTTCCCTAGAGACATTAATATGCGAAACATTCATCAATTCAACCATTAGGAAATTGTTCACAGCAAATATATCTCATAGTTTCCAAGACGCTTTTCTATTTTTAGATACCAGTAAACAACGATCTCATAGTCCCCGATTCAATCACCATTCTCACTTTGCTACTCCATACAGACTTTGTAAGTGCATGAGATACCATTCTAAAAGCCATCAATTCTGCCACTTTAGAAAGTTGAACCCTGCAGGCCCAGAAAACATTGTTTTAGTGCAGCAAATCAAGAGGAAACTGGTGGACATAGATATAAGCTAGTGGACTGGGGGTTTGTTCCAGTGCAGCCAACAATTTAGTTTGTAGGAAAAAGATTGGCTGAAATGATGAGAGTTAGAGTACTGACTCGCAGAAAGAGAAAGAAAAGGAGAAACGAGAAAAAGAAAGGGAAAGAGAGAAAGGGAGAGCATGGCATATATGATTGATGATTGAGGGGAGGTGTGGGGAGAGGGTGGCAGTGGAAGATGTTTAAAGATATTGCATGGTTATGAAACCACACTGGTACATGGAAAAGTGGAAAGACAGAAGATAAAGAAAGGTGGAAAAGGGATAAAATGAAGAAAAGGAAATAAAAGAACTGAAGAAGGTCATCTGCCATACCGCCTTCTCCATTTTTGGATCATGTGGCGGGACTTAATAGAGCTTATAAATTCTGCAAGCAATTTTCTTCAATTGAATTCAATTGGAATATGAACCTTAATTGAACCAAGTTGCAGGTCAAATCTTATATTCAACATTTGAGCAAAGTGCACATCCTAAATCCTAATGAAGACATTTCACTATTTTCTTTCTGACTGATAGGTGCAAGTTAATTTATTTGTTAGTTTTATTGTCATTGCTTGACATCTACTTTTCGTTTCTCATTCCTTCCAGTTGAGCTGATTAATAGGAAATGTCTCATTTGTCCATACTTTTCTATTCAAATCGTTATGAAATGGCCTTCCTCTATAATCTCTCTTTTTCTCTCTCACACAAGTGCATAGACACAAGTATATTTCTTATCCATTAATGTTAACTGAATTTTTGTTAATGTCTGGTAAATTTTCTTTACCTTGAGTATAGGCCTTTTGATATCTTGAAAAAGGAAAAACACTTTACTGTTTTCAATGAGAAGCTTATTTTCTACAACAGTAACATTGCCAAATAGTGTAAGGAACAAGGATAAAAATATAATATCCTTAAAGTATGCAGTTTTATAGTTTTCTGAGGATATTGAGTTTAAATTGCATTAAGACGATCCTAAAAAGTAACCTAAAAAGTAACCTAACTGCATCCCTAAACACATTACAAGGATAAATATTCTTCTACTAGTTCTTCCTCCCATGTTTCTTTTTAGTATGGAAGATTTCTTTGGAAAAAGTCCAGGGCACAACTTGTGGAGTGGAAGTCACGATTGCATGATGTTTATACCCTTTCTGTGTATTGAGTTTTGAAATTTCTTCTCCAATTTACTGAATCTTGGTTGCAATTAGTTCCTTTCTATTAGCAAACAATGGCTGTTCCCTTCTTCTCGACCTCCTTTTTATTGGACAAAAGTGAGAGGATGAATGAAGCAAAAGCAATTTCCCCTTCTTTATTGGCTACTGCACCACTTTTTCTTGTTTTAGTTCATTAGTAATTTTACAATTTTGTTAATTAGTGATAATAGAATTAACAATTAGGAGTTAAGATGGTATGAAAGAGTATATAATTTTAGTTGGAAACTCTTAAAAAATATATAATATGGCATGTTCTGGATGGATGCCTAAAATTCACTTTTTAGGATCATCCTAATATAATTTAAACTCAAGGATATTATACAAGTTTATATCTTGTTTACTGTATGGGTGTTATGATCTGGAAATTGCTAGGAAGCTTAAGAAGTTTAAGAAATTATTAACTGAAGATCTCTTTCTATGATTACTGATTTGTAATGATTTGAGGTTTTGAGCATTAGCTGTCTATCTCAGTGCAATGTTGGCTGCCTAGATTCATATAATGTTTTTTTTTTTTTTTGTTATAATGTTTATATTTGATGTTGGTCACTTCATTGGTTGAGCATACTACCTTTTAGCTTTTGTGACCATAACTTCTCATTTGCTATGTTTTGGAACTTGTATTTGAGGAGTCGGTTTGTATTTGTATTTTGTAACCCTAATTCATTGTTTTGAACAGTCATAAAAAGCTGGTTTGAGTCAACTGGAAATTTTAAAATTCTAAATTTCTTTGCAAGGAAGAAATTTCTCAAATTCAAGCCAATTGCAGCTCTCTCCCTTCCAACAGTTTAAATTCTTGAATATCTCATTTTAAACTCATCTAAACAAAGGATTTAAAATTCATTGAAATCTGAAAATTTAAACCAAATCCTAGTACAAATTTAAGTTCTCTTACTTAAATATGAAGTCAGTATTTACTTATTCATGTTTCTTTGCATTTGACCTTCACAATTGTGTAGATGACCATGCTAGTGCTTATCTATGCCTATATTTCCGCAATATATTCTTTTTTTGTTTGGAAAAGGAAATTTATCTGTTTTAAAAAAATCTTATATACCACCCTTGGTTTGTTTCTGAATATTATTGATTTCAGTCTTATCCATTTTCTAACAGACTACGTATGAGAACTTTCGGTATCGATATGATAAGGAGAATCCACATAACAAGGGAACAGCAGGAAATCTTGGTGAAATATTTTTCTCGAAGATTCCACCTTCATTGAATAATTTTCGTTCATTTGTGGAGGAAAGTGCGCATATGGTTATGGGATCAGTGACTCCAAACTTTATGGAACGTCATATTAGCTCAAAGGAGAAAATTGACATTGAAATGGGGAGTGGGCTTGCTGAAGATACTGGTTATACACTTCCTGAAATTTTGAGAAATTTGGATTATGATGATTTGGAGGATGAATTGAAGATAAAGCAGGAAGGGAATGGAATAGTAAGAACCGAGCAAAGTTCAGCTTCTGAAAGTGAAGTTCGAGAATTGATGCAAAGCTACACAGCAGGAAATGAAACTGATACAATGGAGAAAATTGAAGACTGTTGCAATTCACATCCAACCACAGTGTCGTCTCTTCGAGTGTAAAAGTAATCTTCTCTCTTTCTCTCTCTCTTTTAAATTAATAATTTATTGTGCCAATTATTTTTTAATTTTTGGTGGCAAAGATAAATGATAATTGTACAAGTTTTGGATTACTAATAGCTTTGTTTGGGGTTGAGTATTTTGATATTAGTGTGAAAGATGATCTCCTTTTCTTATGTAATTGCAGTTGTTGAAAACTAGAGGTGGAATACAAGCTCAAAAAAGTTGTTAAGAGGGTGGAAAAAGCGGCAATGCATCTGTTGATTTTGAAGTTTAATCAAAACAAATGGTGTCTATGACTGTGAGGGTGAAAAAGGTTTCTAGTTTGTGTTTGTTTGATTATATTATGCTTGAGAATAGAGTTTTTATGGTTCATGTGTTAGATTCAAAGAATTGTAGCCAACTACATAGTCTAAGATCTCATTCCACTTCAATGGGGGTTAAGTAATTATGTATTTTTTAGGATGATTATTTCATTTCATACATTGTCAGTGGAGTTTGTAAATTTCATAATAATAATAATAATAATACTAATAAAAGATTGTCATGTTTTTCTTTATCATATTAATTTTTGATTTTTAAAAATATATCTTGAAAAGATATAATTAAATTTTTTAACTTTCCAATGGTGAATGGGGTAATTTTTTATTTTTATTTTACCTTCTAACCTTTACAGTGGTGTATGACATAACATATATATATATATATATATTTTATCAATGTGTTAGAACTCAGATTTTATGCAAAAATTACATGCATTTATAATTGAGCTAAATTCTCCTAGAACAAACGTTATACATAACCAGCAAATGTTAATATTTATGTGTTCACAAGTTATTTAGGTTTAATTTGAGTAAAATTTAAATTAAATTTAATTATTATCAAATTGAGTTCGGATAATTTGATTTATCGAATGAATTAAGTTTGAGCATTTTAATATTTAGCTTAAATAGGTTCCAAGCTTAATCAGACATTTATATTTTAATATATATTTTATTATTTTAATTAAAAAAATATTATTTTATCCATATATATCAATTCAAGTTTGAATTTAAATTCGAATAAAAATAAGCAAACTTCAAGTCGAATATGAGAATATAATTCATTTTTATTCGTTAAATTAAACTAATCAAAAAATTTTGAATAATGTAATTTTTATTTTGAATCAAATTCAAACTTAAAAATTAAAATTCAATCAAATTTTAATTAAATTTTAAAAACAAATTTCGAATCAACTTAAATTTAAACTTTTCATTATATCGATTTAACTCGATTCAATTATACCTCGATTCTTCCGTTCACCTTGAGTTTCTAGTATTCTATCAAATAACGAGTAGCGATAACACTAGTGAGAGATTAAAAAGTTAATAGTTTCCCATAATTAGATTTATCCATGGCCTGAGTTATTGGCGAGGCTCATGGACATGGCTAAGGCTTGTGGGCTTTGGCTTGGCTCAAGTTGAGTTCGTTGGTAGGATTTTTAAGGTAGAGCTTAAGTGGCTCAATATGATTTACATTTATTATATTATGTGTTTATTTTTATACTTTTTCGATGAAGATTTTAAATTTCATTTATTATGCTAAAAGTTTTAAATGACATAAGAAAAATGACAAAAGGAAAACAATTTACATTGAAAAAGAGGAAGGCCAAGCTACTTTTGCTTCATCTTAAAAATCCTTGCACAGAAATTAGATTAAAATACTTTTATAGGACAGGTTTGTATTGAATTTAAAATGGCTCTAGATACATTACTCAATTTTTTTTGGAGAGTTCTAAATACACCACCAAATTTTTTTTACACTCCAATATTTAAAAAAAAAAAAAACCCCATATAAAATAATAATTTTATCTTTTAATATATTATAATTTTAACCTTTTTACACACCTTTTACCCACCTTTCTCTTCTTGTTTCCTTTTTCTTCCATTTGTTTCTTTTTCTTTCTTCCTTCTTTCTCATATCCTAAATTCGAAATCTTTGAAATTAAAACTAAAATTTGAAACTTTTGTTAAATCCTATAAATTGTGTAAAAATGAATAAAGAAATGATAAATAATTATGGGGGAGAGGAGTTCGATGAGGTAATGATATCTTAACCCAATTAAACTTGTAATTTTTATATTTATAAAAATTCATTTACGAGAATACAACATAATTTTTAGAATATAATATAAATTTTAAAAATTAATTTTTAAAAATTATGTTGTATTCTCAAAAATTCATTTTCGAAAATACATTATTTTTTGAAATCCGAAAAGTGTACAATAATAGCATTATTGTTTTTGTTTGTTATAATTTTTAACATATTGTGATATGTAGATCAACTTGAAAATTGCACTAATAGAGTGAGATAAGTCAACAGAAAATTTACGTATTAGATACAATTGCATGGATTCATTTACTACAAAAAAGGTAAGATTATGTTTTTGAGATTTAGGGTTACGGAAGGCATAAAATGTTAGTTTTTATAGATATAATAAGTTAAAGATGTTATGTAAGTGTTTTGTAGTAGGGAAGTTTTAATTTCATAGGCTAAATAGGTTGGAAAAAATCAAGATTTTAAGATTATAATTAAAAACTTTAACTTGGGAGGCCTGAGGAAATTTAGAATAAGATTGATATGTGAATGAAGTGAAAAATACAAACAGCAAAAGAATAAGGGCAATGTAGAAGATATGCAACAACGTAAAATAATGAAAATAAAAAAAATGTGGTTACCCATTTGAGTTACATTGGATTAAGTTGTCAATGAATGATTAGTAAGGTGTGAAAGTAGTTTATGGATTTCACAATTATCTACTAGCAAAATAATTAGAAGGGCATTCATTTACAGGTTGATTAATTGAAAAAGAAAAAAGAATAGTTGTTGATATGTCAAACAATATGGTTAAACTCAAAAACATATTGTTGACTATAAAATAACATGATGAGAATAATATCAGCACTATAAAGACAATATACAATGAACGTAAAAGATACAAATATGTTAAAAAAACTAGTAGATAAAAAATGTAATAACTTATTAAAAAGTTGACCTATTGTAAATACCTAGAGTGGTATAAGTTTGATAAGTTAATTGACTGTGTGAAAGATCTATTCTCGGCTCATCCTACTAGTGTAGAGTTATTGCAAGTTTTCTCAAATGTCTTGATTATGGAGGTTGAGTATGCCATTACTTGAAATTGTTGGTGTGACTTCCACTAATATGACATTTTTTGTTACATTTGTGTATACGGAAGTTGAGTGTTTTGAGAATTACATTTGGGCACTGGATAAGTTAAAAAATTTGAAGCTTGCCAGTAATTTTCCTACTATCATTATTATTGATAGAGAGTTAGCATTTATGAATGCCATAGAGACAGTGTTTTTTAAAACGATTAATCTTCTGTGCAAATTATATATCTCAAGAATATACTTATGAATTATACAAAGTTTTTTTAACGAAAAGAGAAATGAGATGCATTTATATTCGGTTGGAGTGTACTTATGTATTCTTCTACCAATGATGAGTATAAAATGCATTTAAGTTTACTAAAAATTGATTACCAAATATATTTAGGTGTAATAAAAGATATGAAAGATCAATGGTTGATAAAGTATAAAGACAGATTTATTATCGCTTGAACGAAAAGGTAATGTACTTTGGTAATGTTATAATAAATAAGTGTGATTTATATTGTAATTTTAAGATTCTTTATGGTTTAGAGTTTCATATCAAATCATTAATATACCATTGTTAATTTATTTAAAGCCAAGAGTGCATATGCGAAATTAAAGAGGCACCTTAGATAATATTAAAAGGATTTTGAATCATTATAGAATATAATCAACGCACTTATTGAGCTCCAACATACAAAGGTTAAGGCTTCATTTGAGCAAAATATTACGATTATCGAGCATAATTTTGAGTCTTCATTGTTTAAAGAGTTGTGAGGTTTGGTATCAATTAGGGTATTGAATTTGATAAAAGCTAAGCAATTTAATCTTGTTAGGATTGATGTAAATACTTATGGTTGTGTGATTAGAAGCATACATGGATTACCTTATACTCATGAAATTGTAAAGCATATAAGGATAGGAAATTCAATTTCTTTATCTGAAATGCATTATCATTGGAAGAAGTTGGATTTAATGAAGAGCCAAGGTAATGATATCCATGAAGAGTTGACCATCCAGTTTGAAGTTGACCAAATCATAAAATGCTTTAACGAATGTGATGAGTTTAGTAAATTGGCCATGAAAAAAAATTATGAAAACTTGGTGATCTGTTATCTTGATTCCACCATTAGAGATAGCTAAGACAAAAGGTCCCAAAACTATAAAATTTAATACCTCTACTTGATGTAACCCATGACACTAAAAGATTGTGTTATATATTCAAGATAATACATTATCACTGATCATTATAAATTTAGTGAAAGTGACAACATAGATCACTAAACTTCTTGTTCAATATGCCCATAGTAAATGAAAAATACAATATTTAGATAGTTTACTAGTGAAGTTACATTCATATATATAAAGCATCATTGATGTTGAGGCGGATAGATATTGTAGTTTCATTTTATTGTTAGGTTGCTTGGATTTAGATTAGATGATTGGGTATAAGTGCAAAAAGATTTAATTGAAGAGCTTAATCGATTTCGAGATGAATATGTGATTTTCTATGGATCCATGGAGCTTATTAAGGAATTGTTAGAAACCTTATCGTTTTTCGACATTTGTACTTCATGTGATAAGTGTATAACCTTACTTGATATGAGTTATTTGATTGTCTTACGCTATAACGCTACGCTAGCCCACATTAGTTTGAAACAGTGCCTGACATATCTTTATATTAGATTTGTACCACCTGATCCATTAGAAAATAAAGTCATTACAATGGATTTGTTAATGATAGTCATTTTGTGCATGTACTGTTAATTAGTATTGTCATTTACTTTTTATATTTATCATTCCTATTTTATGTAAGTGTTAATAATATTATATAAATAACATTTCAATTTTATGCAGGTGTTAATAAAGTCAGTTTCACCAATACCTCATATTGCATGCAATTCGCATAAAATTTAATATAATTGTGCTCAAAAGTGAGAGATCCCATATATAGCTCGCATTGAAGATTTTAAGTTATTATTCAATACAAATTCTGATATGGTCACTCAAAAAACAATGCACATTGATTGATTATTTTTTGCAATACTTGTTTAGCACAATAATGTATATGTTAACATTTTATATTAATGTTTAAGGTATATATATAGAACATGTTATCTGATGGATGAGTGTTATGTCAATCATGTTATCTAATGGGATGTCTAATATTGAACAAGTAATCTAATGGATGTTTATAATACAACATACTATAATGAATGTTTATAAATATACTTAATTAAGTAAAAAT